CTCCTGATTTGAGGAACATGAAACCATGGAAGAGCATTTGAAAAGCCATACATTGTGGGAACAAAGGAAGCATTCCTGCGAAGGAATATGAATAGTTACATTTATTTAATATGAAAAAGTAAGAAAAAACATTCACAGCTATGCAGAATAAATAGCTTTGTGTAGATTTGGCCATAAACTAGTTATTCCAACCCATTGCTTGCTCCATTCTCAGCATTAAAAGGACCTGTACATTACAGAAATCTAGGCTTCCTTCCATTTGGGGGGACAAAACAATGAGAGTCACGACCCTAATGATTCCCTTTCATGTTAAACAGGACACTGCACTTTACTGCAGAGATAGAAATGCATTTCTTGCCCTCTCCTCCGTGCAGCAATGGCAGAATGTGTAGGATGAGAAGGGAATGGTTACTGTTGAGTCCGATTTTAGCCTCCTAGGGGAGCGTCCAAACCTCTGATTAGAACCAAGACCCCATTATTTTTTTCCTCTTTCCAGGCTTCAATGCAAGCAACAGCTTCTTAGTTTTTTCCATCACACTCTCATTAAGCACAATGAGCAATTATAATGGAAATATGCTGGTTTCTTGGTACAGGTTTTGGAGAGCTAGGTGGGTAAGGTTTGGAAATGTATTTCGATGATGAAGGTAACAATGATAATAACAGGTTTGGAGAGCGGCAGGTTTCCATGGAAGTGGGTGAGTAGCTGACAGTAAGTGTTACATTGGTAGAACGGCCCTGATGAAGCCACTTGGCTTATAACAGGTTTCCTTTCATACAAACAGCTGTGTCAAGTGCAGCTATTTCATAAAGCAATTAATTATTCCTCTGAATCAGATGACAGCCATGAGCAGTATCATTAGTATCTTGATCCCCAGCTTTACAAGGAGGAAATAATAATTCCCTGTGTCGCACGTGGAATTAGCCTGAATCCTGCTGCGGCTGTTTTTTCTTTTCCTTCAACCGTGCAAAGCACCTTCTGTCACAAAATGGATTTCATGCCACTTGTCGCTCAAGGATTGATGCAATGTGTCAGCATGACCTGCTGCAACTGCTTACCTGCATAAATATGACCAGTTCAATTCAGAGGGAGAGAAGTGTTAATGGCACCATTATCCCGAGGATGTATAAGCATGGACACAGGGAATATAGCCAGATCAAAAAACAGAGGAAGTGTGGAATTGTGACCCTAAGGAAGTCAGCCACTAGCGTTTAGAAACTACCATGACTGAAATCAAAAAGGAACTTTCAAAAAGAACAAAAAGGCTCCAAATTGTAAGAATTGATACTATGGTGTTGACAATAAAGCCCCACAGAATTCTTGGAGAACGGGACAAGTCCCAGCAGATTGGAGGAGGGTAAATGTAGTCCCAATCTTCAAGAAGGGAAAAAAAGGATGACCCAAACAATTATGGTCAGCCTCACGTTGATACCAGGCAAGATTCTGGAAATCTTCATTAAGGAAGTAATCTGCAATCACTTAGAAATGAATGCAGTCATCGCTAATAGTCAACACTGATTTATCAAAAACAAGTCATGCCAGACTAATCTGATCTCCTTTTTTCAATAGAGTTACAAGCTGGGGGGATACAGGGAATGCCGTGGATGTAGCGTACCTGGATTTCAGTAATGCCTTCGACAAGGTCCCCGATGATCTTCTGGCAAACAAACTAGTCAAATGTGGCCTAGGCAAAACTACGGTTAGGTGGATCTCTAATTGGTTAAGTGAACGAATCCAGAGGGTGCTCACCAATGCTTCCTCTCCATCCTGGAAAAAGTGACGAGCAGAGTGCCGCAGGGTTCTGTCCTGGGCCCGGTCCTGTTCAACATCTTTATTAATGACTTAGATGAAGGGTTAGAAGGCATGATCCAGACAACACCAAATTGGGAGGGATTGCCAATAGCCCAGAAGATAGGAGCAGAGTTCAAAACAATCTTAACAGGTTAGAGAGATGGGACAGAACTAACAAAATGAAGTTCAACAGGGACAAATGCAAGACACTCCATGTAGGCAGAAAAAATGAAATGCAAAGATACAGAATGGAAGACTCCTGGCTCAATATGAAAAGGATCTTGGAGTGGACAACAAGTTAAACGAGCCAACAATGTCATATGGTGGGGGGGAAAATGGGATTTTGGCCTACATAAATAGGAGTATACTGTCTAGATCCAGGGAAGCCATGCTACCCCTCTATTCTGCGTTGGTCAGACTACACCTAGAATCCCACTGTGTCCATTTCTGGGCATTGCAATTGAAGGGAAATGTTGACAAGCTGGAAAGTGTCCAGAGGATGGTGACTAAAATGATCAAGGGTCTGGAGAACAAGCCCTATGAGGAGTGGCTTTAAGAGTTAGGCATGTTTACCCCGCAGAAGTGAAGGCTGAGAGGCGACATGATGGCCTTGTGTAAATATGTGAGGGGAAGTCATAGGGAGGAGGGAGCAAGCTTGTTTTCTGCTGCCCTGAAAACTAGGACACGGAGCAATGGCTTCAAATTACAGGAAAGGAGATTCCACCTGAACATTAGGAAGAATTTCCTGATTGTGAGAGCTGTTCAGCAGTGGAACTCTCTGCCCCAGAGTGTGGTGGAGGGTCCTTCTTTGGAGGCGTTTAAACAGAGGCTGGATGGCCATTTGTTGGAGATGCTTTGAATGTGATTTTCCTGCTTTTTGGCCGAGGGTTGGACTGGCCGACCCACGAGGTCTCTTCCAACTCTGTGATTCTCTGACTCTGAGGTGACAAGATCTTCTTTTGACTTCTTATATTGATCCATGCTCCTTGCAGCAAGCAATGCATTGGCTATGATTGGCCACTGATTCTCTTGCCAATGTCCATGACCAAATCTTGTGTAGCAAATAGTATTTATCTAATGCAGGAATGGAAACGTTTCCGGATGTTGCTGGACTCCAACTATCATCATTCCTTACCGCTGGTTAGGACAGCTAGAGCTGATGGGTGCTGTTGTTTAACAAAAATTAGCTAACTGTGTTCCTTGCAAACCTTTCTTGAAGCTTAGAGGCTTTGGGGAGAAAAAAGATGCATGGAAAATGACACCTTTGTGGAATTTAGATGAGTAAAGAGAAACACAAACATATTAATCAATGAAGACAAATGTGAAATTAATGACATAAATAGAATACTGCCATTTTCAAGCAAATATCTGGGTTGCCACTCACAAAGTGATAATTCCAGTTACCTGTCTATGACTAGGTGAGCGATCCACATACGAGCTTACAGTTGCAGAAGCAGTTAGAAGAATCCCACAGAATATAGTGCATATTAACTGTGCTATAATATCATATATGCATTGAGTTTACTAGGAATTGCTCTGACAAAAGAGTGCATGGGATTGTAGCCTTAGTGTTAGCAGATTTGTAAAGATAATAAGCATTTGGCCTGAGTCACTGAAAGAATGGTTCCAGTTCCTCTCCTTGCCATAGATAACCAAATCCACGAATTCTTAAATCCCCCCCAACACACACACACCCAACACACACACACACACACACACACACGCACACAAATGGTATAGTAAAATGGCAAAATCAAGGTTTGGGTTGTTGTAAGTTTTTCAGGCTGTATGGCTATGTTCCAGAAGCATTCTCTTCTGCATCTGGGGCAGGCATCCTCAAAGTTGTGAGGTCTCAATCAAGGTTTGGTTTGGGGGCATTTTAAGGTTTGGTGTTGGGCATTTTAGGGGAAACATTTTCAAGCCATGCATGCTTGAATTATTGGATGTAGCACCTGGGGCTACAGAGGGTTGACTATACCATGGAATGTAGTAATCCCCACAAAACAGCAACAAGACTTATTGGTGAGATCTACACTGGTATATAATTCTGTTTGAACTGCATTATAGACCACTGATTCCCAACCTTTTTTTTGGACCAGGGACCACTCTCAAACATTAGTACCAAAAGGGTTATGAAGCTGTTTTTGGTTAACTTTAGATTCAGTTTAGTTATTTGGGGTGCTGATTCAGAAAATTACATTGGATAGACCACATCAGCTCTAGTGTCAGATACAGAACATATGCCATCCAGTAGTTACCATCTGCTCACCCATAAACTAGAGTTGATCTGATAGTAGTAATTTTTCATGGATAGTCAGCCTCCCTCCTGACATCCTTGTTGGCTCACACTATAAGAGGGTTTCATGAGACCAGTTGATCCCATTGCCTTGTAGTTTTGAAGCAACAGAGTAGTAATGGTGAGGTTGATAACCATATTTTTGTTCTTGCAGACCCATGTAATGCAGCTTGAACTGCATTGAACTGCATTCTATGGGTCTACAATGATCATGTAATGCAGCTCAAACTGCATTATATGTCAGTGTAGATCCAGCCTATGATTCTGGAAATGATCCATTGATACTTCCTTCTGGCCCAGGAAGAATGTTTAATCAACATGCTTCAATACAAGTGTTTTATCAACCTGTGCAATTTATTGTAAAGTGTGCTCAGAGAAATACCATAGATTGCATCTTCAATACAAAGAGAATACAATTTCTATTAAAGCTAATAGACAACTTTACTCCCAAAAGAAAAATATCCTCAGCTGTTTGACTTCTTTTAGATTAAACACAGGAACGACCCTGCCTGCTATAACTCCCTGTATGTTCTCACATGCACTGGTATACATTTTGATCTGTAGGTTAGTAGAGCTCATGTTTTGGCCTTATCTTACCTTCAACATAAGCTCATAGATGTTTTGCTAAGGAGACAATGGCAAATGTCTCAATGGCTGAGCTCTATGTTCATTGATGTCATTTGAGTGTTCCAGCGCTCTGCTTGCATACACAGTCCACATCTGATCCAATCTAATTATCATCATGTTCGCTCTGGGATCAGGTTTGGCGTGGTTTGACGGCAAAGGGAATTTAACACCAGAAGGCAGTGCTGTCATAATCCCTGCAAATTCCAAATGCCTAAATCCCATTTACGTTGGTGACTTATCTATGTTGTCATACCATTGAGAGCTGACAACCTATAAATACAGCATCAAGAGCCACAGCATGTCAGACCTACAGAGAGCCATTCCTAGGAAACAGATACCTACAACCCTCTGTGTGGTCACCAGTGCAAAACAACTAAACCACAGCCGACTGAATAGTTTTAAATAACTGAAAGTCAACGCGGTGGTGAGAGAGGCAGAGCTTGCTTGCTGTTGAAAACTTTGCAACAGATATGGAGCAAAGTTATTCACGAAGGTCTTCAATGGCTTTCATTCTCAAAGATGGTAAACTGGTTCACCACAGTGAAAAGTCAATGGATGCAGGACAATGCCATCTGTCCAAGGGCCGGTCTCGGCGGCTAACGTCACGGAGACGGTCAAACAGTGTGAGCATGTGTGTCTTACCAAGTATCCCAGAATATCCAGGCTTCCAGGATATTAAGGTATGTATTATATGCAAGGTTCAGATGGTTCTTTTCATTAAAGAATAATCTTGGGAGGGCAAAAAGGAGATTCCATGGCTTAATTATGAGTTTGATGCTGGAAAGCATTGATGGATTGAGTTTTGCATGAGAGTCACCTTGTTACTTTTGAGATTTGTTGTGACTACGCCAGGAAAATAATTTGAGCACACACCCATGACATTAGATCAAAATAAATGTCATGAATTGTCACTGACTTTGTAGTTTAATTTCAAGGAGCAACCACAAGAATGCTTACACAAATATTCAGCTGATAGATTAACTAGATTATTTTGGGGAGGGGGATGTAGAGGTGATCCATCAAAAGCAAACAAACCTATATCCCACTGAAACAAATGGAATTCAGCCTTCAGCCAAACACTTAAGCTCTATTAGTTCAAAGACATCAAGAGGCTTATCTACTGTGTCTAATGTCATGTAAATGGCTATCATCCAGACAACAGGAATCACATCAAAATCCTATTTATTTCAGAGGGCGAGTTAAGCATGTGTTCAGATTTCAGCGGTTCATGCATTTTCCACTACTAATAAACTTCTCATGTTTATTGATTTCATTGCCATCTTTTAGAACTCTGCCTTCTTCCATTAACACTTTCCCTGCAACAGACATGGGTTACACTTGCAATATATGACTATTATTTATAAATGATATTATTGACCCAAGAGATTTATCATACAACACAATAACATAAAATATATGGTGCTGATTGTAATTAGCCAGTCCACTGACAAAAGCTACACCCAGAATAAATCTCTTGGCAGAGCCAGTGGAAAGACTGGGTGATATATTCTTGGAGTTTAATCCCATCAGTGTTGGGTTTTATTTGGCTTAGCTTTCATTGTCTGCTTTTATTTGGCTTAGCTTTCATTGTTTTGTATGGTTTGCTATGGGAACAGATAAGACTAGGGGTTCTCATTGTTGAGGATAAAACTCAATGACTTTAAAAAAAGGTTTGTTTTTAACAATTATACCTTTTGTTTTTTATTCCAAAACAGAGGCACTATACCAGAGGCAACTCTGTGCTTCAGGATCTGGGAAGAACAAGACTGGAAAACTCTCCAAGTACAAGAGTGATGAGCCTAAACAGAAACTTGGGCCATCCAACGGATCGTTTTGCGAAAGGGCACTCCAAAAAGAGTTTTTTCTATGACACAACTTTGCAAGACCATTACAATGACAGGCTGATGGAGTTTAGAAGTTATGGCACCAAAAAGTCAAATGGAAAAGGAAACGAGAACCAGAAGCCCAGTTTCACCAGCCACGGATTAAGGCGGAGAAACAGCTGTGGGGCTAGGATGCAAGACATCCTCAGGAGGTTGTCTGAAGACTCCTGCGATTCAGACCAGATCCCCGAAAGCATGCCAACTTGCCCAGAGGATGAAGGCACCAATCCGGAATGCTGTAAGAAGACCTATTTGGAAAGTTTGATTCTGAGCATCAATGCTCCCCTGGAAATGCTTGTGCGGAGGGAATAACCAATGCATGTTCACAGACATTAATGAACTAATTCTTCAGAAAGAAGGATTGATACCCAGTAACCTTTGTTAATATTCAGGAGGCATACCTAAATATGACATTTCTTATGGTGCATGATACACCAAATGCTAGGACAATGCATGGCAGTACTGTCTACTATGATCAATATTCAACTATACTCTGAAACCTTACGTGCATGGACTTCAGTGTTGGTTGCATTCTGTCCAGATTTCTTACATGGCAGCTACATTTCTCATTCTAAACTCTTATTTAAATAACTCGATCTACCTATTTTGAGTAGTTCAAATAACTGTATTTCTCATTTACCGTATGAATTTATACTTGTTTGTATTGATGTGTTTTCCTTGGTGCTATCAGTCAGAAATAAGCTCTGAAACATGTATATGAAACTTAAGAAGTTTTTCGAATGGCAAGCCTTGGCACAATGTTGCGATTTGCATTTTGAATATGATTTCCTTTAAGCCCAGAATTAAAAATGTAGATATTGTAGACCTCGGATATTTCAGTCTTCAGACTTTACACCATAATATCAATCTAACCAGGGTCAGGTCTGGTTAGTACTAGGAGAAAAGTACCATAGATATCCAGTTAACATGTTGGAAGATTCCTGCGTGAAATCCTAGAGGACTATGGCTACTCAGAGTTGACAGCACTATACACCATGGACCAATGGGCTGAATTAATACAAGATTAATATGTTTTCATGATATAGCATACATTGTAAGCTATTGTATATGAACTGGCATTAGCAGGATGCTGTCAGTACAATATAGTACAACTGCATGTTAGTTATCAAATCTGTGCTTTACCCTATTCTCAATGTTATCTGAGTGCACCCATTACCTTCTGCCGTATAAACGAAAAGCTGCAATACATTTCCTGTGGAGCAAAATAAACGCCTTTTTATAAAAACAATGAACTTTTGTTGTGACTCTTGAGTGCAGTGCATCTTTGTGCATCAACGCCCTTCAAAACACAAATGTTTCTGTCACAGGCACAGTCATCAGCAATTTGTTTCTCACTAACAAGCATAGACCCAAGTTCTTCACTAGCGACGCTATCCTACTTAGCCAATTCAATATCTTCTCTCTGTTTTACACAGTACGCCAGCTGCACCCATACCTCATGAAGTCTGACTTGGCCATGGTGGTCCATGCTCTAGATACCTCCAGGTTGGATTACTGTAATATAAAATGTTCTGAATATATAATTGGAAGATAACAAATTAAAATATCAAATTCCTCAATAAGAAATATGAATTATAAGCACAATGGACAGAATTCCTTATCACAATGTACATTCTGTAACTTTATGTATACTTGGCTACATAGTAGAGGTGCTAAGAAACCCTGTTAGTGAATTGTGAAGTGTACCAGCACTTCTTAGCCAGTGTTTTGATACACAACAGGACTCATTGGTGTCATCATGCATTGGTCCAATTGCACATCAATCCCAATGCACCCTTTATTGCAGTGGTTCCCAACCTGTGGTCCGTGGACCACCAGAGGTCCACAACGATGAAAATATGGTCCATGGCCTCACAATTACTACACTGTTGCCTCAAAACCACATGGCAAAAAGTGTTGAGGTATATGAGGATATCAGGAGGGAAGAGGCTGACTACTCATGAAAGATTACTATTACCACATCAGCTCTAGATTATTAAATATGGTTTTCTGTGGGCAAGCAGATGGTGACTACTGAATGGCATATGTTTTGTATCAAAAACTAGAGCTGATGAAATCTATCCAATGCAATTTTCTGAATCAGCAGCCCAAATAACCAAACTGAATCTAAAGTTGACCAAAAAATTATTCATAACCCTTTTGGTACTAATGTTGGACAGTGGTCCCTGGTCAAAGGGGTCCCTGGTCAAAAAAAGGTTGGGAACCACTGCTTTATTGGATATGGGCATACTGGGACTACCTAATTCTAATTCATAACTTCTCAACAGGATTCCAACCAATGGGTTTATCCCCAAGTACAAAGTGGGTGGCATCTTGTTGGTTAGTCACAACTATACTAGATGATTCAATCAATTGTTGTTGAGCCAATATGTAGATTAAACTAATGGATTTCTTGGGTTTACTCTAGGTGGGATCAAAAGAGAATTTAGACCAATCTCTTGTAAGTTCTGCTAAGAAAAAAATGAGCAAAAAGGAATTAACCTTTCATGCAGATGTCTACATCTTACAATACAACTAACATATATTTTCAGGATTGTGCACCTCAAAGTATAATGGGACCCACTCCCAGGTACAAGGGTACAGAACTATACCTCCTTTTCATTTCTCTTAGAAAATGGTTTGTGCATTAAAAAGCCACTTATTTTAATATGGGGATTTGAAAAATTAAACAATGGTGTTGCAGAGGCAGGTGGCCATTTTAGAATGCCAAATGATATATAATTTTAAATCACATAACTGTGGCAAAACCATTTGTATTGTTTTCTCCTGAAGGCATGAGATTGTATGACATATGACTTTCTTATTTTGGATTGACCTTCAAATACATACTATGAGCAGGATCCAAAAGCTTTTCAGTTAGACATACATGAAAACAGGTTTAGTCCTCAAATACTTTGGAAGCTGGTTATGTGAGTGTGTGTCTTTGACCACATATGCACTGCGATACACTGAGATCACACATCTAGCTGTCCCAGAGTTTTGATTTGAAATTCATGCAGCTTTCAAAACAAATTGACTTTTGCCCCCAACAAACATGAACCAAGAAAGACCTATCAAACCCAACTAATGAAATGTTAGGATAATGAATATTTCCTCATTCATTTTTCAAAATTCAGTATTTTCTATATTTCATCCTTTTTGTGATTTTACAAAAGTGTGCTTATTTGATTAGCTCCATGTATAAAGTGTTTTATGATTATCTAAACAAGATAGCTGATTTTGGCAGCCACTCCTGATGGCCATTCCAAAATTTCCCATATGCTATCATGTTTCAGGGCATTATCAGAAAAATTGTGGTTTCCTTAAAAATGATGGTAAAATAACATATTGGCCTCCCAAAATTGTCAATTGAAGTCTGTTCTTCTGTTGCTAAAAATACAAAGAGCCCACTATCAAATGCAATAAAAGAAACTAAAAGTATGGCCTTAATAAACCAATGCATTGTTTTATGAGCGAATGTGCTGGATTTCTCCTACTCACCATTTCTTTAATTATTTTACTTATTTGTTTTACTCATTTTACTCATAGATATATGTAGCACTCTAATCACTATAATTACACTGTGATAATGGCCACCAGTTGGTCCTAGACCAAATCTACTCTCAACTCTCCTTAGAATCCAAAATGTCTGAACCAAGGCTATTGTACTTTGGGCATATAATGAGACAACATGACTTATTAGACATTATAATCCTTGGTAAAGTGGGAGGCGATAGGAAAAGAAGAAGATCACATTACATTGCAGAGATTCAATCAAAGAAACCACCATCTTGAGTCTGCAGATCCTGAGCAGGGCTGTTGACAATAGGAGGCCTTGAAGTTCTCTCATCCACAGGGTCACCATAAGTTGAAGCCAATTTCATGGCAATTAATGTATGATCTTAACATGATCGATTTTTGTTTGTAGTGATGTTTCTACTTTGTGCAGGTGAAGTGCAATACTCTATCTACGTTTAATGACTTTGTGGGGGGGGGGAGGTGACCAGGAGAAGAGAGGTTATGTTACTTTTGCAGATGTCTAGATGTCCAGCCATCTGATGTCCAGTTATTCCTAATATCTTTTCAATAAATAACTACAGCAGCACAAACCAATGCTTTGTTAGAGGGCAGTCAATATTGCACAAGGAGACAGAGAATACCTCTTCTGACTATGTCAAACAAAGGCCATAAATGTGCAGCTCACTAAGGCTGGGTCTACATTGTCATATAACGCAGTTGGAACTGCATTATATGGCAATGTAGATCCAGCAATAGTTACACAAATAAGTATCTGCACTTCATCGAATACCCCAACCCTATGGTACGTTGCTTGCATTATCCCATGCCCGGCCCTTTTATAGCCTGGTCATGCCCATTGTAGAATTGGCTATTGATTTTGTTGAGCATTGTTTTGATTGAGTTCCAATGCTGCTGTTTTATATTTTATGTTTTATTTTAATAGTGTTTTCTTCTGGATTGTTATATTTTACCAGGTTCTTATTTTAATTGTGTTTTTGTTTCAATGGATTGCTTTGTATTTATGTTTTGTGGGCATTTTGTCCCATATGTAAGCCGCCCCAAATCCCTTTGGGGAGATGGTGGTGGGGTATAAGAATAAAGTCATCATCATCATCATCATCATCATCATCAGATTGCCATGGCTTATATTCTTAAATGATGATGACATAAATTGCACACTTCAGCATGTCCATGTTTATGTTGATGTCATTTAATAATATGGGGTATGATTATCCATGGTTTTTCGTATCCATGTAGGTTCTTGTAACCAAACTACTATGGTTACAGCTGTCCCATCCTCACACATGTAAAAAATCAGGTTTGGTTAGGGCACATAACTAATCTAAATAATTGAAAAATACCGAAAATAACAGACACTTGGATATACTTAAATAAAGGAATTTATTTTTCTAAAAAAAAAAACCCTTTCCAAAACAAAACTGGAAAACAAAACAGTGGTTTGATCTAGATACAGCAGCACTGCAATATTATCAGACATATACAAGCAGCCAGAAAACACGTAAGCCATTATTGTCAGTAACAACCTCAAAATGAAAACTATTTTAATTGAACAATGTGAGAAAAAACCCTCCCTGAAAATTAAAACAAAATGAAAAATCCTTTGGATACTAGAAGTATTATCATTTAAGTTTATTATTATCATTACAATACCAACAGCCACTAATTTTTCTACTTGAGAACATTTGGTTCCATTTATTATAAATGTATAATTGGTTGATTAAGTTATGAAAAGCTCTATTACGTTAGAAGTGTCTGCTTCTTTTACAGAGACTACAGTATGAGAAGTGTTTTAAAATATTGATTCCTGAATATGGTTTTTACTGGAGCCATGATGTAGCTGTGTGTCCAACATGGGTGATTTTTTTTTTCAAATGGAAGTCAGTGGTAAGCCTAGCCCTAACACGGCTCTCTGTCTAATAATTTAATTGGCAGTCTACCATGGTCAAGTACATCATGAATTCATGAAAGTGTTCATTGCTCAGAAATGCAACTGTGAACTTACATCCATTGCCTCGTTGGAGAGGTAAAACAATTTCATTAAAGTATAAACAAGGTGAGTTGTGGCACAAATAGAAATTAAAAATCTTTACTATTATATTAGCTTCCTACCAATATACATATTTATATATATAAAGAGAGAGAGAGAGAGAGAGAGAGAGATTCTTTACTTTAGCATCACATTTGGAGTGTTCTTAAAAATATCCTTTGCAGAGCTGGAAACATTGCTGTTCACACAAAAACATCAGTGTTAAATTGTTGAAGAATATTGATTCATTATCGTTAAACGGTTGAGAACATGTTATGGAATTAATCCATTAATCGATTCATTAAATCATTACAATTGATTTTTTTTAAAAAAACATATACTTAAAATTATTACAAATTGTGAGGAATGGATGATGGCAATGAGACCGTTGTAACTAAAATAACAATATAATTGGCACATAACAATTAAAAGCAAACAAAATTTAAAATTGCTGATTTGATTTGTAATGACTTCAGTAATTAAAAATGTAATTTTGAATTAATTATTTTCAATATTATACTGGAATATGGCACATGCCTTCATAGACATATTGCTTGCAATATCCACTGGTATGAGTGTTATCCTGTTTTAAAATCTATGGGATCTAATTTGGAACTTGTTGATCAACCTAGCAAAATCAAATTACATGTAGAATCTGTTGTCAACTCATTTCATCTGGTTGT